AAAAGTTACGGCAGCCTTTCTGTCTATAGCCCAAGCACGGCACAGCCTGGCCCCTGTGAAAGACAGGTTAAGCTAGCAGTCACCGCCTCAAGTAGGGCAGCAAATTCTGTCACTTAAAAAGGGGTTTTGCAGGGTCAGAGAAAGGGCAGAAATGGGCAACTAAAATGATCAAAGGGGCTGGAGGAATTCCCCGATGGAGGAAGGTAAGAACAGCTGAGAAGATTTGGCTTGGGAAAAACAAGCGAGTGGAGATCTGACAGAGGAGCACAAAACGACGCTTAGAGGAGAGCAAGAGCGTGGGAAGAGGTATTCCCACCCCACCCCGCAATACCAGAACTGGCCCCTGAAGCTGGCCGGGGGGAGATTCGGGGCAGGCAAGAGGAAGGGCTTCTGCACACCGCACGCCGCAAAACGGAGTCCTGGGAGGTGTAAGCATGGCCACCAATTGGGATGGTGTCAGAAGAGGACCAGACACATTCCTGGAGAGGGCTATCAAGGGCCACTGGTCTTCATGGTTAGGCCACGTCCAGGATTGGAGACATGGAGCAGGCTGATGCACACACATTGCTGGGGAGCATGGGTGCTGCTGTGCCCATCTCGCTTGCGGGCTCCTCGCGCATGGTGGGTCAGCCACTGGATGCACAGAACGCGAGACCGGACAGACATTCCGTCTGAGCCAGCGGGTTCTTCATTCCCCGGAGCGAGCAAAGCCGGACTTTATCTCGCCCCAGGCGGTAATGCAACGGGCACATTAAGCGCCTGGTGCCGTGTCAGCCGCCCGGGCCGCCCTTGGACTAGCAGAGCAGCCCTCCGGCACCGTGGGCAGGGCCTGGCCTTCCTGGGATGTTCCCCCCCGAAGGGGGGCACCCACATCCAGCGGAAGCCTCTCCGGCAAGACAGAGGCCCACAGTCCCTGCTGCTTGCCACCCTCTGGCTGGGTCATTAGGGGAGCAAAGCAACTTGGGACCTTCCAAAGAGCAGGGAGACCGGAGGGCTGCTTTTCGACAGAATGCAGAAGGCCCCATTAACCTCCACTGAATTTCGACGCTGGATGTGTTTCTGGGCCCTTCAAAGGTACACAGAATGGAAGTTCTACCAACAGCGTGACACCTGCAACAGCCCAGTTTTTCACAACCGAGGCGCCTTTTCCAGACACTGCCTTCCAACCACGCTGAACCCGAGGCCAGCCACGGAGGGAAATCGGCAAGACGTTTGATGAGACAAGCAAAAACAGAATTCCGTCCTCCTTGGACCCCTCTGCAGAGTCTCTGGACCACAACTCTCATCCTCCTCCGCCAGTACTCACTGGAAAGGATGTGGGTCGCACCGTACTGGAGGGTACTGGGAGGGGGAAGGTGGCTACATTTTAAACTAAGGTGGGCGGGAGGTGGATTCCCAGATCTTTTGGACTTCAGCTCCCAGGAGCCCTAGCAGCATGGGCAACGGCCAGAACTGCTGGGAGCTGAAGTCCAAAAGATCTAGAGATTGTGGTTTTAACAACTGGGAGTCAGAAGCCCCAACCACAGTCTCCCTACCAGTACCCCTTTTAAGAGCTGCCTTTTACCTGTGGGCAGGTATCCAAGAGCTTCATCAGGAAAGTACTCCACCTTCAATTCCCTCCCCTTATCTCACATACATGGAGAACATAATCACGTACTTAACACAAAGGAAACACACACACAAGCCACACTTAGCACACAGCAGCTGATCACTGTAGGGCGAGTTAAGGGCCAGGTGAGGTGTGTCTTTTCCATAGCACCCGGCTACTGGGTAAGGAATGCCGGGCAATGGGGCACATGGGTTAACTTGCAGTCCGTTCGGACAGTCAATTCCCAGGAGGGTTCCAGGAGAAAGCCCCGCCCTCCACAAAATCTGGCAAGAGTCAACACTGTGGGAAAGACATCAACGGTAGCCACGATTCCCACTGCTGTCAACCTAGCAGCATGGTTTGCGCACAACGCTAAGCCACGATGTGGTTTGCCGAAATCAAGCTAGTTGCTGTACCTGAACTCATCTCCACAAACCATAATTGGTCAACCAACTACAAGCCAGAAAAAGAAACCCCGGTCTGTTGCTGGCTTACAACCTGGCTTGTTTGGATCCTGGCTTGTCATGTCATCAGAACCCACAATCATGGCCTATCCATTGTTTGTGATGCTGCCCGTCAATGAAACAAAGGCACGCAATCAGAGCAGCCTGAAAACGAACCGTTTTTCAGCTCTGGAAAACTAAGAAGTAGGGAAAACAATCTACGTTTTGCTTAACACAATTCATGGGTAAAGCAAAAGACCGTGGCTACCACAAATGGCGGCAAAGCGCTCCATGCGAACACAGCTAGAACATTTGCTTACGGGCAGAAGCCAAAGGCAGGCAGGGATGTTCTGCAGCCACCCCCCTGCCCCTCATTCTAATCTCTTCTGAAGCACTTGGGATTTAAAAAGCACTTTTACTGATTTTGTGATCGCTCCGTAATGAATTGTCTTGCTGGCCAGCCCAAGACCCACCTGGCGCACCGTGTTCTTTGATCAGCTGATCCATCTGGCGAACCAAGCAGCGCAAAGGCAAGCAAGCCGCCACAGCCGTGCTCTCCTCCCGGGTTCTGCTCTTCCCGGACAAACTGCCCCCATACAAGGTGGCTCCATCCACCTTTCTCGGGAGATGGGAACCCGCAAACTTCTGTCCCCACAAACTTCTTCCAGCCCCCTTCCTTCACAGGAGCCCTCTGGGCTAACGGTCCTCAGCGCATCTTGCGCAAGCAGTACTCCCCCACATCAGTTATGGATTACGCAAAGAACAACTTCCTTTTCTCTGTCCAGACATGCTAATTGATATGGTTTCAGCGATGTCCGTGGTGATTTACGGTCCCTAGAGCTTCGCCATCTGAAATCTGGCCAAGCTGAGACAACAGAAAGAGTTCAGAACAAACGCAACCGTGTGGCCGGACAAATCCACACCCTTACCAAGGCTGTGCTAAAGAATGGAGCCTCCACATTCAGGGGCAGTATACCCCGATGGCTGGCTTCCCAGAAGGTTGCTGATGGAAAACATGGGATTTGTTCTGCAAGGCATCTTTAGAGCACCAGGTGGGCAAAGGCCTGGACTAGGCAAGGGCTTGTCTGACACAGCAAGACGGGAAGCATGAGGGGTGGGTGGCCGGGGAGGAGTTTAAAGAAATGAAACAAAGGCACTTCTGTTTAATCGGCAGCAAAGCAGGTACTGAAGCTGAGTCCAACCCCAAGGGAAGCAGCCAGAAAGCAGCAGGCCTCTGCGAAGAACAAAGCCAACGGAGCTTTGAAATGGCTAAAAGTGTACACCCTGTCCCAGTGCAGAAGGGAAGCAGCCAAGATTTTGGTGCTGGCCTCCCATGGGCAGCACACGGAGCAGGGACTTGAGCAGGGGCCACATCCTGCAATGCTCCTCCGTCCACCGATGCACAGAGACAACTAGCACAGCATGGACAACACCACACTGGAACCCTCCTCCACATCCTCACCACCCTGATGCCCGAAAACGTGTTTTTCCATCAACGGAGGGTGGCAAGGAAGTGCATGCAAACATGTAAACCTTCCGCTGGCTGAAAGATGCCCTGCACGGAAAGAAGGTGGACACCCAAGCTGTGAGAACGGGGCCAGTGTTTATCCAACCCAATCTGAGGGGCAGCCTGCAACCCCCAGCCCGCTGTTTCCTGACAGACAGCACTCAAGAGGGTGGAGAGGAGACGGCGACCAAGGGCCAAACCATGGCAAGGGAACAAACTGAGCGGCTACGGGGAAGAAAGTCGCAAAACCATCATGAGGCTTTTACATCAGGGATCCCGTAATTCACATGCGCTATGAAAAGACAAGACCATGTTGAAGGATCCAGAAAGCTCTGCACGCTTTGGGGCCTGCCTCCTTTATCCAGCTTGCAGTCTTTTCAGCTACACTCTCACCCCATCACACACAGGAGGCATTGCTTTTCCCTGGTTGCATTATAAATCTGCCCCCTGCAATATGACGGATCTCATTCCCGGAATAGGGTTTTAATGAGGGATGCCAGAAGTAGTGCCGAACCTAGAAGGGCGGGGGGGGGGGGGGGGCCAGATAGGGAAAAGAGAGCTGCAAATCAACATCCCAGGGAGGCCTATGCTGTACCCCCATAGCAGCAGGGTCAAGGGCAAGTGTGAACACCAAAAACACATGTGCACACAGAAACCCACAGTAAACACGAATTCAACATGCCCAGATTTTGCAAAGGCAGGCCTAGGCTATCAATTTACCAGAGATTTACCTATGGGAGATTAAAAACACACCTGGCTCTCTCCCAGCCATCTGACAATGTCTTTGATATGGCGGAAGCCAAGGCTTTGAAATGTTTCCACATTCAGTGTTTCAAGATTCTATCCCTCAAGGGGGAAAACAAAACCTCTTACAACAGGGCCTCTGCAATCAGAAGGGTGTGAGCGCGTGTGTGATGGTTTAAATTCGCTTCTGTAGGCCAGGGTTTCTAATGGGAAGAATCAGGACACAATCCGAGGCTTGTTTGGATACAATTCCCCAACTGGGGGATACTGGGACTTGGGGCACTTCGCCTTTGTGTTCCCGTGCACAGAACTGCACCCTTAGCAACTTACAAGCGCGTTACGAGGAGAAGGCAGCAGCTTTGGGTTTCTCACTGAGCAAACAGAAACACATTTTCAATGGAACTGCCCCGCAATCGACGCGAAACATTTGCGGGGGACGGAGAGGGCTAGAGGGGGGCGGTTTGCCCCGTTCACACGGGAAGGGGGCCATTCCACCGCAGCTTCCTTCCCCGCCACGCGATGCCGGGGTTGATGCCGGCAGGGCCTGCAGTATTAATCCTCCCTCCGATTCCGCACAGGAGCCGAGCCAAGCCAGGTACTTCGCAAGGTGCGGCGTTCGCGCCCCTCGTTCTGCTTTCCACGGGGAAATAAATGAACATCCGCCGCCGCCGCTGCCCCAGAGGAGCGTCCCACCCCCACGAGAAACAGGGCAACTCACCTGATTTAAATCTTCGTCGTTGAGAAGGTGCGACTCGCGAGGCTTGAAGCAGTTTTGACATTTGCTCTTATTAAAAATGTTGGCCTGGAATTTCCTGCAAGGATTATCCTTAGCAGACATGGCGTTGTCTGGCCAGAAAAAGGACGCCCAAAAAACGCAAAACAGACGCCCCGAATTGCAACTTTTGCCCACCTTTTAACAGGGAAAAGGGGGAGGAAACAGAACACAAACAAAGGAAGTCGGCTGGTTTTCTTTAGGCGAGTAAACCTAGGTTGTTTGCTTCGCTTTTTGAAAAGGGGCTGATCCCTGAAAACCAGGCGTCGAAACGGACAAGGGCCAACTCCCCTTTCTCTGCTTTGGGGGCGCACCGGGATCTCTCGGCAAGCGATCCGGAGCGGCTTAACATCCCAATTTCCCAGAGGCAGAAGCGGAGCGAGGAAGAAGAAGAAAAACCCCGGGGAGGGGAGAGGGCATTTCGGAGCAGTCTCCGAACCCGGGCCGGGGTTTGCGGCCGCGGCTCCTAAATTTAAACCGCGATTAAGCCGAGGAGGATGCAAAAAATCCGGGGCGGGGAGGGGGGGCTGGGCTGGGTCGGGTCTGCGGGGAGGAGCGGGGAGGGATGGGGCGAGAGCCCAGCTGTCACGGCAGATCGGCCCGGACGGGGCAGCGGCCGGAGTGGAAACGCGAGCGCGGCGCGCACGGAGCGGCGCGACCCCGGGGCGGCTTCGCGGCGACGCCGCCCGCCCGCCCGCCGGCGCCTAGTCAACGTCCAGAGGCGCAGAGCCGGCCCGCGGCGGTTCCTGGCAGGGCCCGGGCGGAGCGGCCGACGGGGGCCCGCGCGGCGCCATGGCTCCTCGTCCCCGGGAGGGCGGCGATCCGGAATCCGCTTCGGCGCACGAGGCTGCGGGCGCTGCTCGCAGAAGGGAGGCTCCGCCGGAGCGCCAAGGGGAGACCCCCCAAAAGCAGTGCAACTTCTGCCCTGTTCCGCCGCGAGAAAAGGCGATCAGCAAGCGAACAGAAAAGGGAAAAAAGGGAAAGCGTCGGGGCGCAATCCTGCCCGGCTCAGCGCCGACTCAAGGCAGCCGCAGGTCTCCGCAGGTTCGTGCCGAGGGCCCGCTATCGGCTCCACCACCTCCTCGTAGGCCGCCCATCCAAGCCGGGGGGGAAGGCGAGAGGGAAACGCCTTGGATCCTCGGCCTTTCCCCCCCTCCCCTTCCTCTCGTTCCTCCTTAATGATTATTCTTTTTATTGCACGCGCGGGGCCTTTTGCGGGGCGAACCGCCCAGCCGAGGCTGCTTTTCCTTTGCACCAAATGTTTGCACCAAAAAAAAAAAAAAATTTGCCCGGCGGGCGGGGAAGGAAACGGGGAGAGAGGGAGAAAATCCTCACGCGCTTTCAGGGTTTAAGGGAGGGGGGCCACTCCGGCGCCTGCTCGCGGGATACATGCTTGCCCCCCCCCAAGTAACTGACATTGCCAAGTATCCAATTGCAGGGGAGAGTGGCTGCTAACAAAAGAAGCGGCTGCCCAATGCCGAGCGAGGGGGGGCCGCGAAAGGAGGGATTTTTCTACGTAGTGCGCGAATGCGATACAAAGCTGGAGGGGAAAGATTGCAAGGTTTCTGGTTTTTTTCGTGGTTCAGGCTTGGTGAGCTCGTGTTGGCCGAGGCTGGGGCGGGTTTGCGCTTTAGTTGCGTTCTTTGGGAGCCTTCTGATCTCCGGTTTCATGGGCATTCAAAAGGTCGAGAGACGGCATTTCCTTTTGCAAAACGAGCTGCGCCTTTTTGTCCTATCCGAGCGCTTTCTTCATTTACCCCCCCTTTTTTTTGCAAATCTACCACTGGTTCAATTTTTGCAATTACATTTACAAACGGAGCAACACCCCCCTATCTTGCACATCAATGGCTTTGCAATTAAATTTGCAAGCACATACGGGAGGAAAACACACGCGATATTTTACTGTGTTTATCATAGTCCCTTATCACCAGCCTCTCCCTAAGTACTGAGTTTTTTATTGCCAAAAAATAAACGTCTCTTTAAAAGCAAGTTCCGTACAATTTAGCAGCCGAGCGAGCGCGCCTACCGCTTAGCGGGGAGGGAGCAACAGAAACGCCGAACGAGGCGGAAGCGGGCGCGGCGTCTGCAGGAAGTGGTTCTTTCATAAGAGATTTGCCCCGAGTGTCCTTGGCTAAAATAATCCCCCCTCCCACGCGCCCAGGTCCTGCCCAGGTAGACACCTTGCAGCCGGAAGCCCGGCTCCGCTTTGGGGACCGGTGGGCGCGTGCACCGTGCAGGAAAAGACGCGCGTTGCAAACCTGCCGCCCTCCCCGCTCTTGCTCCTGCTGCACGCATGACGCTGCGAGTTTACCTGAGAGTAAGGCCTGTCGAGCTACACGGGCTTACCTCAGAGAGGACTTGCATCTGAATGGTAGGTTCCCCAGAGTTTCTGCTGGAAGGAGGAAAGATTGGGTCGCCGGGAGGACGCCCTCCCAGGATTTCCGTTGCCTTTGATGGTGGGAGAAGAAATGCTCGGATGCGGTTTGCTTCTCACCTGAAAGACAGAAGCGAGCAATGCACGAACAGCCAAATGTTTTACCTTGTATTCCTCGTGGGCTGCTGTCAGAATGAAGCGCGTGTACTCACAAGTCAATCTGTCAAGAAAGGTCGTAGGTGCTTTGTGAAATGGCAAGGGCTCATCCAGCTTGCTGTCACCTGCAGCAGGTTCTCCCAGCCAGGTACGCCCCAGGTGCCCCACGCGCCTCGGTGTTTTACAGGGTGAGGTGAGCCAGGAAGCTCTGAGCTGCTTCCACCCTGTTGGGTGTCCTGCTCCACGTTTGGTGGCCACGTTGGCTTGTGCTGCCCAGAACTTAACCACGCAGAGTTTTACTATACAGGGCAGTAGGTAAGCACTACAAGCCAATCAATAAAGAATAGGCTTTATGGGGCCTCCCTGTCCAGGCTGAGGCAGAAAGCAAGGGCATTCTAGAAAGTGGGGCATTCTGGAACAATGGTGTCCATAATCTGTCCCTCTAGGGTGGGGTTTTTTTTGTTTTTTTTGTTTTTTTTGTTTAGTCGCAACGTTGTGCCCGACCCATCATGACTCCATGGACAACATTCCTCCCTCCACCATCCCCTGTGGACCACCCAACCCCACCACCCCAGTGGTCCCATCCAGCCCCCTCATCCTCTGCTGCCCCCTTCTCCTTTTGCCGTCAGTTGCTCCCAGCATCAGGCTCTTCTCCAGGGAGTCCTTCCCTTCTCATCAGGTGGCCAAAGTATTGGAGTTTCATCTTCAGGATCTGGCCTTCTAAAGAGCAGTCAGGGCTGATCTCCTGTCCCTTTGGGTGGGTGAATGTAAATTCTTCGTAACTCAGTAAAAAAAGAAAGTTGCTATTTCATGAAGTTAAAAATAAATCCTTTTGGCTTACTGGCTAAATTTGGGGGCTGCCTAGAGAGTTTTAAAATCTGTGAATTAAAAACTCCATGACGATCCCAGCAGGTGAATCAACGCACGATTCAGCTGATTCATCTGGATGCACTGACTATCAGTTTATTTTTACGCGGATGCCGAGGCAGCTTCATCGCTTAAGTCCCTTCTTCCTGGGGGAGCTGTTCCAACCCAAGTTTTGCTGCCCTTGGCTGCATGCTTTTGAGGGGTGACAGCCACACCCGTCTGCATGCATGGGGCAGCCCTACATATGTGAACTTGCTTGCCTTGGGGGGGGCAGGGGTCATCCCAGGGGGACAGACCCACAATCCGTGTCCCTAAGCTAAGAACCCTTCCGCTTCTCCCGACCTCTTAATGGATATTTTCAAATGCCAAGCATCCGATCACCCAGATTCCAAACCACCTTCGGCTCTCCACTCACTCTCCGCGTCTGCTCAGACGGAGCTTCGGTCCCACCAGCTCTTTGTCGGCAGGCCACTGTTTGGGGCCGCGGAGCAGGGCCCTGTCCGAAAGTGGCACCCGAGGCAGCGGGATCACCCCACTCTCCAGGACGTAGCCTTCACCCAGGCCTCTGGTGCCATCTTGGTACGAGGAGGCCACTGCGAGGCCTCCGCTGGAGCCGGACTGCCAGCTTGTTTGACGCAGGGCTCCAACAGGCTCCGGTGGGCCAGCCTGCGTGTCTCCGTATTGTCATAGTGCTGATAAATACAACTGCAATTGTGGTTTGTTTGCAGCTGGGAACACCGTTCTCTTGCATCCAAGTGGCTCCGATCGCCTCCACGTGCCCTTCATCACCTGCCCCGGCTGGGAGGTGAGGGGTCCAAAGAGGTGGGGAAGGGGGCTAAATTCTGCTTCACAGATTTAATCAACCCCTCAAGCAACGGTTAAATTCCTCTGTTACTAGAAGCAAACTTTTCGGGCACAATTCCACGTTTGTTTAGACAGAAAGAAGTAGTATAACTCCCATGCTGGCTGGAGAATTCTGAGAGTTGCCGGACTTCTTTCTGTCTAAACGTGCGTGGGATGGAGCCCTTAGTCATGCAAACAATATATAATCTATTCCGTGTTGCCTAGTGCTGAATAATATTTGGGCAGAACTTTGAGCCTTTTATGTTGCCACTGCTTCTGAGTCCATCCTACAGACTCAACGGGAGAGAAGAAAGTGCTGCAAAGGCTAAAACCAGCAAGCTGCAGCTTCCTGAAGGACACGGCGTCGGTTCTGACGTGCGAGTGGTGTTTTGTCCTTTGTTTTCTGTGCACGGTGCTTGTTCATTGTCCTTTTAGGCGCCCTTTATGAGCTTTATGAAAAGGCTCAGAAAATTGCGGGGGGGACACACCACATAGAGACGCAAAGGTGCAATCCTGTGCAAAATGAGGCAGAAGGAAGTCTGATAGGTCCATCTTTAAGGTTAAAATAAGCACCTTGAATCTGGTCAGAAAACAATGGGCAAATATTTCAGTTCTGGGGCTAAAAAGTTCAGGTGGGGGATCTCTGTCCAAGAAGTTCAGCTGGGTGACGTTCAGCTCTTTATTATTCACTCTGTGCTGAACCTACCTCCCAGGGTTGTTGTGATGAAAAGATGGAGGAGACGAGGACCGTGGAAGCTGCCCAGGGTTCCTTGTGAGAGGAGAAAAAGGCAAGAGGGAAATGTCACAACCCACAAACGGAGCGGCAACAGTGATTCCAGTTCTTACAGCGCATAGAGCATCTTACATGCAATCAGCCGTCCAAGCCAGCCTGGTCCCACAGGCTTGTAATCCAAAAGCATCATGGCACAAAAGGAAAAGGGGATGGAGAGGGTAGAGGAAAGGTGAAGTCGTCATTACGCAAGCCTGGCCTGCAGAACGGCCATTTTCCTGCTCCTGCCTCCTCCAGCTGGAAGGGCTGCCGGTGCTGACGGCTCTGAGGAGCAGCCTTCACAGGGGACGCCTTGTAGGGCTGCTTTGCCGTTTGCTACAATCACAAAGGGGACTGCAGGTGGCGCAGTGCTTTCAACCGCTGGGCTGGTAGATTGAAAGGTCGCCGGTTCGAATTTGCCCAACGGGGTGAGTTCCTGTTGCTCTGTCCCAGCTCCTGCCAACCTTGCAGTTCGTTCCGTGCACCTCGGTGTTTAGTCATGCCGGCCACACGACCACGGAGACCGTCTGTGGACAAGCGCTGGCTCCCTCGGCCAGGAAGCGGAGAGGAGCAGTGCCCCCGAGAGTCAGGCACGACTGGACTTCACG